ACCGCGTCTGTCTCGGCGGTTCGCGGAATCACTTATGCATCGTCATAAGCTGTCTCTTGATTTTGTTTTGTTCTAACTCCTGCGCGACATAGCCGGGAGGGCCCTCGTTTACGCGACGGCCGATGCGCTCGACAGGTGGCGCCGTTGCCGGGGATGACAACAAATTACCGTTGTCCGTAGTGGAACGACACTCGGAAAAAGGATGGTTTTAGTGATTTTAAGTGTTGTGCGTTGTTTGTTTGGATCGAATGTAGTGAGTGGTTATTAATGTCCGGGAAAAAAAGAAGGCAAGGATTGGGGTGAATTGTTGGAATCTACTTGACACTTGGACGTGTGGGTTTGTCGTGTTGATTCTCTCAAGATGACGGGAGGAAGTGCTGATCCCGCAAATAGTAATGTAGGGGATCGTCGCAACGACAACTTGGAACTCGCACGAGCCATTCGGGAAGCCGACAATCAGAAGGCGCAACTGCCAAAGGTTCAAGTTTCCCTCTTCGATAGCACCAATGCCTCAACATGGGCGGACAAGTTTGAACAATTGGGCAGCTGCAACGAATGGTTGAGTGAGAAGATGCTTCAAATGGTGAAGCGATAAAAGATGAGGTGTCGGAGTTGGTGCAAGCTTCGCGCGACTGGCCGGACTTCAAGGCCAAATTATTGGACAAGTACCAGTTGGGGGATCAACTGCTCGATCTGGCGGACTTGCGGAAGGTTAGTCGTCGGAAGTTTGGTACGGCCAAGCAGTTTCTCACAGAATTTGAACGAGTCGCGCGCTTAGTGCTTGACCTTCCAGATTATCCGGTGCTGCCCTTGGCCGCGATGGCCTTCGAGCCCTCCGAGTTTGTGGGAGACCAGCAGTGGCAGGTCGCTTGAACGCAGGACGGGACAAGACCGTGGTGGGCATCAAATGCCCTGCCGACGGCGATCCAGGTTGCGGTGTGCTAACATCATTAAGACCTCCTTGGCCGTCTCTGTCCCATCCTCCAAACAAAAAAACTTGGGGAAACCCGGGTCATTCTTCATTCATGTCAGCGCATATTTGAACAAAAGCTTCCCTGCATCGAGTCATTTTTCTGACCACTGCTTGAGCTCGCTGCAGTATCTCTTCCTGCTCTTTGCTCAACCCTTCATCTCCAGCCTTGGTATCCTCAATTGTCAATGACTCCATCGTCGCTTCCAGCTCAATCTGTTCGACTTCTTCCGGAGAAGCCAGTCGAAAAGTTGCTGGAAGATCTCGCCCCATGCGTCGGAAAGCTTCCTTTCTCATTCCTCCCTCCACATTGGGATCGATGGATTCCCTTCGAAGTCGTAGACCTCGCCTCGGATATTCGTATATATAACCTTATCATTTTCATCTTTGGTAACGGTCTGACAAAACCGTATCCCATGTCCATCTTGGCCACAATACTTGCAAAACCAATTCTGCCAATTGCCTCGGCCGCCCCCATTTCCGCGACCTCCCCCATTGCCTTGGCCTCTACCTCGACCTTGGCCCCGGCCTCCTGCCTGAGGTTGGGGCTGCTGAGGAGGGGCTGAAGCCACCTGTTCCTGATCACTTCCTTGTCCACCTCCTCCATTATTCTTCCGCTGCTTTTTATTAGTGCCCTGCCCCCTTCGTATCTCGTTCAGGGCCTTCCGTTCTGCTTTGGTCAATTTTCGAGCGGGCTCCACTTCCTCCTCATCTTCCTCCTCACTGTTGCTACTACTCATCTCCTCTACAACGGGTGCTTTGCCCTTCCTTATCCCGTCTTTTGTCTGGACCATCATTACCTGTAGCTTTAACCTTTCCTCCTTCATATCCGCCATCATATTCCGCATGTCAGTCAGGGTCTTGTAAACGGCTTGATCCTTATCCGCACTTACCCCTTTCTTCTCACGATCCTCCTTTTGCTGCTTCAGAAGACGGTAAAGCATCTGGTCGAAACTTCCAGCCAACAAATTCTCCTTGATCTTTGGCTAGTCGTATCGTCCGGTCATATCCTTCATCAGTTCTCGCTGCTCAACTTCTGAAAATTTTTCGAGGAAGATGAGGCCGGAGATGAAAGGTTGAGCAAAGAGAAGGAAGAGATACTGCAGCGAGCTCAAGCAGTGGTCAGAAAAATGACTCGATGCAGGGAAGCTTTTGTTCAAATATGCGCCGATATGAATGAAGAATGGTCCGGGCTTTTCCAAGTTTTTTTGTTTGGAGGATGGGACAGAGACGGCCGAGGAGGTCTTAATGACGTTAGCGCACCGCAACCTGGATCGCCGTCGGCTGGGCGTTTGATGGCCACCACGGTCTTGTCCCATCCTGCGTTCAAGCGACCTGCCACTGCTGGTCTCCCACAAACTCAGAGGGCTCAAAGGCCGTCGCGGCCAAGGGCAGCACCGGAAGAAGGACCAAGTCAGCCTCGGAAAACCGAGACGATTTCGATTGAAGAAGACGATGGCGAGGAGGATGAATTGCTGCGAGCCGAAGATGAGAGGCATGCCAAACAACGAGCCATGGGAAAGGAGCCAGAAACGGGCAAGGCCGATATTGGGGAAGGTGAGTTGAAAAAGAAGAAGCAAGTTTACACAATCCCGGTGGAGCAAGGGCTGGATATCGAGCAAATCGTGGACCGGATTTTGGAGAGTCAACGCGACTTGTTCACGCTCAAGGAATTCTTGGCCTCGTCATCGAAAATCTTAGAGGAGTCCAGACACCGACTGTCAAGGAAAAAGGTGATGACGGTTAAGATGAGTGATATCTTTCCTCAAGAGATTAGTTGGGCTCCGCCTGGGACAAAAATGGACTGGCACTGTGTAGCGACTGGGTTGTTGAAGATGCAAGTTGGGCCGTGCGAATACTCGGCTCTCATCGATGATGGGGCTGAAATGAACATCATACGTGAAAGAGAAGCCATGGGGGCAGGAGTGAACATCAATCGAGCGGATACTGGATTTTTGGTGGGTGCAAGTGGGATAACTCCCTTTTGCGGAACAGCGAGTGACGTGACGGTACAGGTTGGTAAAGTCAAAGTCCGTTCTTATTTCTATCTGTTACCCAGGGTTGAGCATGCCGTGTTGCTGGGCAGAGCTTTTCTATGTCGATCAGAATCCATCATCTTTCATAAGCACGATGGTACTATGATCGTAGTTTTGTGTGACCCTGTATGTGGCTATTACGAGGTGCTGAAGTGTGAGAACACAGGACCAACCAACTCAAGGAACCGACTCAATCCGGGGTCCTACTCTTTCACGGAATCTGAAAGACTCAGAAGGGAGAAGGAATTCCTCGGAGAAGAGAGCGATCCCCAGGAATTTTCGCTTGCTCTACCCAACATCTCTCAAGCAATCGAGTTCGTTGCGACAGACTCGTCTGTGAATCCCAAGCTGGTCCAAACATTGACAGAGATTGTGGCAGGAGAAGGCGGGACTGGTAGGATGTATCTTACCTATCGGTCCGAAAGGTCTTCTGAGGGTGATGCATTGGCGGAGCCAGAAGCCAAGCAAGGGTTTTTTTTAGAGGTGGACGACTTGGAGTTGGAGCGAAACGAAAGTACAAGAGAGTAGGCGAGAAAGCTCGGCCAGTGCCCGTCTTGATCACGCAAGAGGAGGAAGTGTACTATAAAGAGGAGAGAGAATGGATCAGGATGAGGAAAGAAAAGAGTATGAAGGCGTCATGTCGATTGACGGAGGAAAGGATTAAGAATATGATCATTGGAGAGGAAGGGTCTCTTACTGAGAAGGAGGTGGACTTCCTTGTTAGCATCATGAAGAAAACCCATCTGGCTTATGCCTTCGATGATGATGAGCGAGGGAGGCTTGACGTTGACCTGATTCCAATGATCAGGGTTCATACGGTACCTCACGAGCCGTGGAACATACGAGGTCCGCGTTATCCAAATCCGGATGATCATCGTAGAGTCGTTGAATATTTGGATGGTAAGATTCAGACAAAGGTCGCGGATTACTCGTATGGACCGTATGCGTCCCCTTGGTTTTGTTTCATCAAGCCAAATGGCGTATTGCGATGGGTGCAGAATTTGCAGAAGCTGAACTCGGTGACGGTTTGGGATGCCGGAGGACTTCCACATGCCGATCAACTGTCTGAGTCATGCGCAGGCAGACCTATCATCACTCTCATTGATTTGTACTCAGGATATGATGAATTCCTTTTCTATACGGCAGACAGGCCGATGACGGCCATGCATACGCCGAGGGGATTAATTCATATGTGTGCGGCGCCTCAGGGATGGACGAAAGCTGTAGCAATTGTTCAGAGATATATGATGAGAGTAATGCAGCCACTTTGTCCGGACGTGACCTCACCTTATATCGATGACTTGGCCATACCTGGGCCGCGCGTGAAGGATGAGACGAAGGTGCTGCGCGTTCGAAAGTTTGTTTGGGAGCACGTTCGTAACGTGGAGAAGGTCCTCTCCAAGTTAAAGGAGTACAACCTCACCGCCAGCGGTGTCAAGTCTCGGCATTGTATGCGTGAGGCAACTATCTTGGGCTTCTTGTGTGATGAGAAGGGCCGTCAACCAGATTCCAAGAAGACAAACAAGATTCTGGAATGGCCGACCCCGCTTAAGTCCATCACTGATGTGCGCAGTTTTTTGGGGACTTGCGGATTCTGGCGTATCTTCATTCGCAAGTCCGCAGCAAGGGTGGAGCACCTACGGAAGTTTGTCCATAAAAATCAGGAATGGGAATGGGGTCCAAAGCAGCAGGCGGCAGTCGACGACATCAAGGCACAGTTCCGAGAAGAAGGGTTGATCCTGGGGGTTCCGTACTTTGACAATGACCCGAATCGGCCCTTTGTGGTTTAGACGGATGGAGGCCCCACAGCATTGGGTGGAGTCCTCATCCAAAAAGATGGAGAAGGGCGAGAAAGGCCATTGAGATTTGAAAGTCGAACGCTGAATGAGGCGGAACGGAAGTATTCCCAATTTAAGAAGGAAACCCTTGCAGTGCTTCATTGCTTCAGGATCTTTCGAAACTACGTGTTTGGAAGACGGTTCGTCCTGCGGGTTGATCCGACCGCCCTGGCGCAGTCATTGAAGAATTATTCTCCCTCGGATCCAACTATTGCTCGATGGTTGATCTATATCTGGATGTTCAATTTCGAGATTCGGCGTATTGCGGGAACACAAAATCGAGCCGACGGATTGAGTCGGATCGAGTGGGACTCCTCGAAAGATCAGGCAGAAGACTCGGTCCCTGTGAATGGGTTTCTGGAGGCGGACGAGCAACAACTAAGTATCAATGTTTGGGGATACATCAGTACTGCGTCGTCCCGACCTGGGAAGTCTATCTGGAGTTCGCCGAGTTCTTATCAAAAGTGTGCAGAGCTGGTGATGTGGGAACCCTTTTTTGAGGAGGATCCTTGGGGTGAACGGTCTGCTGAGCGGATGATGAGGTTGGCATTGTCTAACCCAGTACAACTTTCGGAAGAACCTCTTACGATTGAAAGGGGGCATGAGCAAGGCGACGAAGTCCTCAAGATTTTTGGGGGAATGATGTTTCTTGTTAATTCGTTGATACAGGAAGATCACGGTAGGCTAATATTGGAAGAAGGAGAAGGCAGTGGGATCAAAGAAGTCTTTCGTGAGGAGGAATATGATGGGACTTATAAGAAGATTGGGCTTTGGTTGAATGGGGACCTGAATGAGGCAGAGATAGAGCCAGAAATAAGAGAAAAAGTAAAGGGTTTTGTCGTTCGACAGGGGCATCTCTTCAAAAAGTTTGACGATGGTACGCCTAAGAGAGTGGTGTGTGGGGTTCCCAGACAGTTGGATGTGATTGCGGCCCTACATGATGGAGTGGCAGGTGGACATCGATCTGCTCGAGTGACATTGAGAAAGATCCAACATCTCTATTTTTGGGATAATATGGGTAAGATGGTGGCAGAGTTCTGCGACTCGTGCGTCCCCTGTCATAAACGTTCGAATCTCCGCTATGTTGAGCCACTTAATCCACGATATGTGGTTGAGCTAGGGGCGGTTGTGCACCTCGACCTGGTCGTTATGCCACCCGGACTTAATGGGTACAGGTACATATTTAATGCGAGAGAGAATCTTACCGCGTTTATTGATGGACGTGCAATCTGTAAGCGAAACGGAAAATTTCTGGCAAAATGTATCGAAGAGTTTTATCTTCGGTACCCATTTGTTCGGAATTTGTGATGGATCGAGGAGGTGAATTTCGGGCAGAAGAAGTTCAGGCTCTTATGAAAAGACTGGGAGTGAACTATAGTTACACCACTAGAGCACATCCCTAGGCTAATGCTCCGGTCGAACGTGGGCACGCCACCTTGACTAATTTGCTAGCCAAATGGTGTGTTGGCAAGCCGTCAGCATGGTCCGTCTATCTTAGAGCTACCATATTTGTTGAAAACATAACCGTAAAACGGACTACTGGGTATGCTCCGGTTACGTTATGGTTTGGGCGACATGCTACATTTGCAATCGAGAGTTTCCTGACTACATGGCAAAAACAGGATATGAAGGCCATGTTTTCTACAAAAGAGTTGCTGGACCTGAGAGCAAGACAGATAAAAGCTACTGAAGAAAGAGTTGTAGAGCTCACGGCGTCAACTGCGAACAGCAGACGGGCGGACAAAGTTAGATGGGATAAACAACCCCGGGTTAGAAAGAAACCATTGGAAGTTGGGGATATTGTCCTCCTCTATGACTCTTCTCTTGAAAAGCAGTGGTCGAGAAAATTAGATAATCGATGGATGGGATCGTATCGTATCATTAAGAAAACAGAGCACGAAGCATACGAGATTGAGGAGATGGATGGAGCACGTGGGCGAGATCGGGTTTCAGGCTCACGTTTGAAGAAGTTTGTTCATAGGGACTAAGATAATGCCTAACTTTTCTTATCAGACATTGATACCACTAGCTAACTTGATTTTATGATTAAGTATTTGTAAGATATATTTTCCATGCAATTGACAGATACATATGGACTTGTAATGAATTACTTGTTGATGTCATTTTTGTCATTATTCTTCGTTCTTGAGCAAGATAATTGATGTGCATAATAATTTTTCAAGCCTTGTGAGGATGATTCTCTGAGCATACATCTCTTTTATTTCTTATGTGGAATGAGTTTTTTTTGTGAGGGATTGATTTGAATCATTTGTGCAAAGTCATGACTTAATGTGTAAAATGTGTATAAAATTTTGGAACATGTGACTTCCTGAACGATAAGTATTCGTTCTGTAGGCACATGGTTTAATAAATATAATAAGTTTATATGTAATACTTAGTCCTTATTGTGTTTTGATATTCCTGAAAGATGTGAGCCTTGTAGGTGGTAGTGAAGCTCGTGCCGAAACTTGGTTCCTGGTCCATAACGAGATGATGTCATTTTCCTTGAAAAGGGCGATAGCTACACTATCTCCGAAAAGGAGGATGGTGTCGTAATCCTGTTGACACCTCGCCTATGGTGGGGAGCGATCGCTGCTTATCACAGGGGTGGGGTTGGTCGTCCATCCTTGTGATATGCAGGGTCGCCGCGTCCTTATGATCCTCGTCTTACCAACTTGGACTACAGGGTTGCGATACTGGAATCAGAGGGAATGTGGTGAGGCTCGAATCTAAAGCGGGGCTTGATGTCGAGATGTTATCCTTTGTGGAGGATTACACCACTCCTCGACGCAGTCACATAGAGTTTGGGGGTATTAGGACATAATAATCCTGGGTATTTGTAAAGTTGCACAATCGGATGGGTTATGGAACTCGGGTAAAGGACTTAAATAAAAGGTTCTTGTATTGAATGGCTAGTTCAGATCATGTCTGAACGATTATCATAGGTTGGGTTATGGAGGCATGTCAGGGGTTATTCCTAGCTCATTCTAAGAACTAGCTGAAGGTTAATACGAGACTTCCAGAAGGGATGGTGGAAATCCGGAGCCTTCCTATTATCATCCCCGACAACCGTGACTGTAGTATAGTATGAGTATCCTTGTGTTACGTGAGAGGTCCAGGTTAAACTCCTGGCGACACGTGAGTGTGTTGAGGTGTTGTGGATGCATCCCCATGGACGTGAGAGACCCGGGTTAAATTTTCGGTGGTGATGGTTGCTTGCCAGATGATTAAAATAATGTTTTCCAACCAAGTGAATTTTGTTAGCTAGAACCATGAAAACTAAGTCCTTTGAATTATGGGCTTCCAGGGGCTTAATCTGGACCTAAGTTTCAAAATTTTGGGCTTCCAGGGACTGAATCTGGTACCCAACCGATGGATGCAGAATGATTGTAAATTTTGGGCCTCCAGAAACTGAATCTGAGCCTGAGTTTCAAAATTTAGGGCTTCCAAGGGCTGAATCTGGTACTAATCCAATGAGTGAAGAATGATAGTGAACTTTGGCTTCGAGGGCATAACTCGTTTAAAAGTAAGGGGTACGTTTTTTCGGATATCCCCTGTTATAGTATCTATGATTTTATTAAGATTAAAGGATACTAAGATAAGTATCTGCAAGATTTAATATTAAGAGTACCGACCACGTGAACGACGTGGAAGTCGTTCAATGGGGCCTGGGAATGCTGTCGGGGCAGAAACCCTGACAAGGGTATTTGCCCGTGTTTTTCAACGTCGGACGCTGTCTGACCATTTCACTTAATTAGAAGACTTCATGAGATTGACGTTGCCAGAGTTTATCCAGACTAGCGCTATGACTGAAAGACTTGAACTTTTTGAACTTGACGCCGTCGACGCAGGACGACACCAACATCCGTGCGGGATAACCGGGGTTGGCACTGTCGTCCGTGGGTTCCGACGAGGCCGCGCTGGTGTGCGGTCGTGAAAAAACTAAAAGTTAAACCTAGTCTACTTATAATAAGGTCGCGCGGCTTAACAGCCGCGCGATGCAGGGCCTAAGCGAGCCAAAAAGGGGACGACGCGACGAGATAGGATCGCGGCGTGAAGGAACGGTTTAGGGTCCATAGGGCTTATGTGTCGGGGACCCGGAGGCGAAGGCGTCAAGGCCGGCTGGATAGGGCAGCCGTTGAGGCCGTCGGCTGCTGGCCTCGCGTGCCAGCCGCGGTAATAGGCCTGCTTAGCAGGCGTAGCCTGCTAGGCACCAGGAAGGGACTTGCTAGGCATTGGAAGCCCTTCATATAGAAGGGCTGCTACTTTTTTGATGTGAAAAGGAGCTAGCCCAGTAGGTACCGTCGCCAGATTGTTACCCCGCAGACATGGGGATCGAACCTGACTAAATCACTGCCGGGCTAGCTCCTTTTGGAGCAGCCCGCGATTAGACAAGGGGTGCGGCCGATTTTCGGCCGTGCAATCTTCAAGATCGCGCGGCTGATTGGGGTGAAATGGCCCTGCGCAAGGACTGTCTCTTATACACATCTAGATGTGTATAAGAGACAGGTCCTAAGCTGTCTCTTGATTTTGTTTTGTTCTAACTCCTGCG